CGAGCCCGGCGCGGGGACTCGGTCCCAGCCCCGCCGGCAGGCACACCTGAGCTATCCCCATCCTCGGAGACCGACGAGCTCTCCGTGTCCTCGTCCTCGGAGCTGCTCCCCTCGTTTTCGGCATAGTCCACCTCCATCTCATCATGATGGTTGGTCTCCTTCTTATCCCCGCGGGAATGGACTGGCATTTTCCAGCCGCGCCGTCGCTTTCCACTCCCGGCGCCCAGCCCGGCCACTGCTTCTTCAATGTAGGGCGCGCCGAACGCCCCGACCCACCCAGCGGCCGAGCTGGTTCTGAACCTCTGGGCTCCGCCCCGCCTCCAGCCAGAGCCGCACAACCTAACCCAGAGGCTCAGCGCTGGGAGCTCTGCCATTGGTGGAGGCAGCCCTCAGAGCCGGGGGGCGGGGCTTGCCCTGCTCAGGTACGGTTGGTTGCCCGTAATTACAGCGCGGCCCTGCAGTTTCTATTGGGAGTTGTAGTCCTTACAGCTCAGACCTGCAGGGGCTGCTGCCTGCCAAGCTTCAATAGCCCTGAGCACTTCTTCCCTCTGGACTTCAAGTCCCACAAGGCACGAAAGCTGACAGTCTCGATTGCAGTTTATAAACTAAACAGAAACAGATTGTGCGAATTTAGTCTGTATTTATTATTTTCCCGCCAAGTGATTGTCTGAGCTCCCTAGCTATCTAAGATGTTACTGTCAGCTGTGAAAAGGTATTTTCCGAGTATTTTTCCTCCTCTTTGAGCCTGAGGGAACTGGAAAAACGTCTCTACTACCTAAGCAGCTTTATTACCACTAATAAACTATTAAGTGTTGTATTAGTAACTGCAGACGATAACTTACACTTTCTATGTTGCACAAAAATCTTTACATTGTTCTTGAAGCTTTTGCAATCAATAATATAGAAGGAAGTTTTATCTGGGCAATTCATCTAGTATTTTTTTACATTTATACCAATACAGCCCAAAGATGCCACTAGTCTTGATTTAACTTTAGTTTTCAATAAAAAATACTTAATTGACTTAGTGAAATGTTGTTTCCTCAATGAGAAAGATGATACACGAGGAGGAGTCAATAAAAATCACAATCATAACAAATTAGTTGACACTTTTACTCTGTATCAGGTATCCATGGTTTATACTGCATGTAATTCTTAATTTTAATAGCTGAGAGGTAGGTGCTATTATCATCCCTATTTTACAAATGAGGAAACTTCATTTGCAGACAAATCTAAATTGTATTTTATAGAGAGCTTCTTCTTAAAGTGCCAATTTGCTATTGAAAGACATTTCATAGAATATTGTGTATTTCATTCTCAAACATGAGGTCCAAAGACATTTTATGGAGGATGGTAAGGGTATCCAGCAATAATTGCATTAAAGTTAGATTTAGATTTAGTGACAGAAAACATTTCAAGAGCTATCCATCTCCTACAGGGTAAAATGCAAACTAAGAGGCTTTTATTATCTAGTGTCAGTCTACTTCTCTTCTTACTATGTTCTTCATAACTGAACCCCTCAGTTGCTAAACACACAAACTTTCCCATTTCAATGTCTTTGCACATCTTATTCTCTCTGCAACCCTCCTCTACTCCTTTTCTTTTTCAAAGCCACTTTCTTTTTTTTAATATATTTTTATTGATTTCAGAGACGAGGGGAGAGGGAGAGAGAGATGAAAACATTAATGATGCGAGAGAATCATTGTTCGTCTGCCTCCTGCACGCCCCCTACTGGGGATCAAGCCCACAACCCGGTATCGAACCCCAGACCTTTCAGTCTGCAGGCGGACGCTCTATCCACTGAGCCAAACCAGCTAGGGCCAAAGCCACTTTCTTGACAACATACATCACCAGCAGCACCTCCACCCTACAGCACACACTCGTGTTCTTTCAGGCTACTTCTGTACTTTGCAACTTTGTAATTGTTTCTGTCACACTGTATGTATAATGGTTAGCAGATACAATTTCAAAGGAATGCAGTGGTCAGGCAGGTGAAGTTAAAAGATGGAAACCGGAGCCTGGCCAGGAGGTTCTGTTGGTTGGAGCCTAGTCTTGGGCACCAAAAAGCACCCCTTCCTCTCTCTCCAAACCAATAAAAACGTATCCTCGGGTGAGGATTATAAAAAATAAATAATTTTTTAAAAAGAAGTACATCTTTTAAAAGATGGAACCTGGAAGAGTGTGAGCACATGCACATACATTATATGAATAGTGCGGACTAAAGGGAGCAATTGCTTGTCGTTCCAGCCTGTTGTTACTACCTCAGAATTCTGGCTTAGATGTCACACCTTCCAATTTTCAAGAGAAACTGGAAATTTAGATATTATGTGAAATATCCAAATTTGTAAACATGATCTCAACTGTGGATTTTGTTTTGATTTGGTTTCATAAACTCCAGACCAAAGAATAACAGCTGTGGGTAAAATCCCAACCTCTGTTAATGGCTGTTCTATCAGCAGCTAGCAGAGTGTGTGCAAAATAGTAACAATAGCTTAGATTTCTGGTCACTCTCTATGTGCCAAGCATTGTTATGTGCTATAAGTACATTCATTCAGTTAATCCTCACAACTACTCCTTGAAGTAGATATGATTATGCCTCCCATTTTGCAGATGAGGAGACTAAGGCGCAGAGTAGTTAGATTACTTGGCCGAGGTCATCCAGCTAATAAGCAGACTTAGGGTTGAACTTGGGCAGTTTGACTCAGGGCCTGCACTTAACAACGGCATACAGTACATCTTTAGGAGGTGTTTTATATGCTGCTGCTTTTCAAAGAAATACAGAAGGAAGCTGAATGTGAGGCACCCTGGTTCTGCTAGCAACCAGCCAATTAAATCTGGCAAACCACCTCATCTCTGGTCAGTTGTAAAATGAGAATGTTGCATTATATTATCTTTAACTTTTCTTACAGCTCTAAAATTCTTGCCATCATTATATTTGTGTGTAAGGCAGACAGATAATAGGAGATAATGCAATTAGAGTTGCATGACAGTGTTTTGCTTAAAGGGAGTTTAGAGTTTTTCGGGTATACCCAGGAGAGGAATTGCTGGGTTGGATGGTGACTCTATTCTTAATTTTTTGAGGAATCGCCAGACTGCTTTCTATAGTGGTTGTACCAGTCTACAGTCCCACTAGCAGTAAATGAGGGTTCCCTTTTTAAAAATTTATATTTTTATTGATTTCAGAAAGGAAGGGAGAGAGAGATAGAAACATCAATGATGAGAGAGAATCACTAATTGGCTGCTTTCTGCACGGCCCCACACTGGGGATGGAGCATGCAACTCATGCATGTGCCCCGACCAGGAATGAAACCATGACCTGCCTGGTTCATAGGTTGATGCTCAACCACTGAGCCACATCAGCCAGGCTGAGGGTTTCCTTTATTCCATAACCTCTCCAACACTTGTTATTGCTTGTCTTGTTGATAATGGCCACTCGGTAACAAGTGTGAGGTGGTATCTCATTGTAGTCTTGATTTCCATTTCCCTAATTGTGAGGTTGTATTTGCAAAGATATATGCACCCCTATGTTCATTGTAGCATTATTCACAGTGGCCAAGGCATGGAAACAACCAAAGTGTTCTATTGAGGACTGGATAAAGATGTGGTACATATACTAGTAAACAATGGAATACTACTCAGCCATAAGAAAGGATGAAATAGCGCCATTTGAAACAACATGGATGGACCTTGAGAACATTATGCTAAGTGAAATGTCAGTTATAAAAAGCTAAGAACCACATGATTTCACTCATATATGGGATATAAATTCTGAAACTCATGAACACAAATAGCAGTGTGGTGGTTGTCAGAGGGAAGGGGGTAGGGTGAAAAGGGGGAGTCTAATATATGGTGACCTGAGAAGATTTGACTTTGGGTGGTGGGCACACAGTGCAATATACAGATCTTGTAACATAGGAACCCACACCTGAAACCTATATGATCATGTTGACCAATTTCACCCCCATTTTTTAAAAAAGGAGAGTTTCTCCCCAAACAGATTTTAGAAAAGATGTATAGTGAATAAAAGCAGAATCACAAGGAAAAACATAAGGCTGGAAAAGAACATACCCCTAAGGCAGTGGTCAGCAAACTCATTAGTCAACAGAGCCAAATATTAACAGTACAACGATTGAAATTTCTTTTGAGAGCCAAATTTTTTAAACTTAAACTATATAGGTAGGTACATTGTTATTAACTTAATTAGGGTACTCCTAAGGCTTAGGAAGAGCCACACTCAAGGGGCCAAAGAGCCGCATGTGGCTCGTGAGCCGCAGTTTGCCGACCACAGCCCCCTTATTTTTTAATATTTTAGCTCCAATGACCTGCCTATCATAATTCTTGCTCCTTTCACTCCAATGGTCTGCCTATCATAATTCGTGGTCCTTTTGGTATTCTTGTAGATAATCCTACGCCACTCTATTTCCTACTGGGTTTGCTCTGGTACAAAGTAGATATAAAATAATTTGAACTTTTTTAGTTTCCCTCCCATATCTTCTTTGGGGTAACTTTTTTCTAATCTGTTTTATTAAATATCTTAATACTACATAATAATTTAACACATAAAAAGTACTCAGAATATTATATATCTAACACAGTATCCACCTTTAAACTTTGTCAAGTCTTAGCATTTTACTACATTTGCTCCAGATCCCTACTCAATCCCAATTCTTTCCAGAGTAACCTGAGAAGACTTTGGCGTTTTTGATTGCCTTGCATGTGTGCATACTACTGCTGTATGTTTGTGTGCATAAGTAATATGTAGGATTGCTTCAACATGTTTTAAAAGGCTTATATTTTAAAGTGGTCTCATACATACATATCATGCTACAGCTTCCTTTTTCCTTAACAATGTTTTTAAGATTTATCCATTGTGGTAAATCCAGTTATTTCAACATGCTCTAAGGCAGGGGTGGGCAACCCCTGGCACGCGTGTCAAACATGGCACGCCAGTAACTTTTGCTGGCACTCGAAACCCTCTCTTATAATCTTCCACTTACAATTTTTTTTCTTAAATCGACTTTTTTATTTTTCAGATAAATTCAGTGTAGGTGCATCTTAGATAAATAAATAATTTTACATAA